GTGATCTGACATCAAATTCCACCATAGATAAGTCATAAATAACAGTATTAATAGAAAACATGCGCACACACAGAACTAGTGGAATTCATTGATCCGTTCTAGTTTGGCCGTTTCGTTTCCGACTAGCAGTCATGAATATTGGTTCTCGTCAATAATACATTTAAAGAGAAACATCTGACATCTTATCTAATTATCTCAACTATAAAGGCTAGCTATATTCCTTCACAATTCACTACAGTCCCAGTTTGTCTTCGTTCCATTGTATTCGTTCCATTGTCTTTGGAACAGACAACCAGAAGTACATAATGCAGACTGCTTGTGCCATCTTGATCAGCCTACATTGGGATAATCAAGAATACTGCAATTTTAAGTGGCATATTGGACCAGTTGAGGCTACAGAACCTTTCAACCGGGAGGGGCCAACGCCAAAATGTTTTCGAAACCATTCTATGGATGTGTCAGAGGAAAAAAATGTGAAAATAAAGTGCTTTCTTTCAATAATATTACAATGAAAAAATCCATATTTCTATGAAAAAGGGGAGACCATGACCACTATATTAGGTAGGGCGCAACTCTTGCGGTCAGGGTACCGTTCTATGCGCAATCCAAAGCGTCCTTGACTGGACTTGCACTACACATCTTAGTTTGCCTTCATTGAGAATATCAAGAATTCTGTAGGTTTAAATGGCATTATTGCGCTAGGGTATTGAGCTACTCTCAGGCCCAGTTGGGGGTACCCCAGTTGTTGGGGATATTCTCTTATTCTGTGAACAATTCAAAATTCTCTGGGCACTACATTGCATACATTCTGGACTTCTTGCGCGTCTATACATTAGCCGAAAACTATAGCAGTAAAGCGGGGAGTAAAACTCATTATCCTTTTTCTGGTGTCTTGCTCTTTGGGCCAATTATAAGTACGTGTACTTTAAGACACAATAAGTTTCTTATTTTCTTTAAATTTAGCCTTCTATGATCCACCAATTACTCTAAATTCGGATCCGTGGACAATATTTTGAAAATAAAGGGATAAATCCGGAATTCAGTATTCCATTATTATTAATAAATTTTTACAATATTTTAATAATTTCCACAAAAATGAATACTTAGGTCTTTGAAGGAGGCACACAATGCGTTTTAAAATAATCACCAGCATCACTGGCACCTTGCGCAATATTTTCTTCAGACCAAGTAGCTTTGATAGTTTTTGTCGATTCTGTATCTGAAGAGAAAGTTACAACAGAAATTATTCCTTTTGGAATCTACAATGAGTAAGAAAAAGATGGAATAAAGTAATATCACGTATTTTATATGGTGATATCTTAACGAATCGAGACAGAAAAACTGTGACGGAATTGATCTGTTATCTCTTTATCGTAATTTATTCCTACACAAAAGATAAAACTTGGGAAGGAGCCGGACTAACTTACGAAAATCAATCATAAATATTCACAATGGTCAAACTAATACAAACTTCGTCTTATACCTTGACTGCAATAGCCATCCATGGACTTAACCCTCTCCTGATAAATTATTATAGATAAGAACATGATATTGCCCAGCATAAGTTGTGAACCATTTTATAATTGTGTTAACCTTTTAGAAACTTACTTTGGAACATTTATTTTTAATTTTATATTCTAATCTGGGGGTGGGGGCCCGAGGACTTGGTTCAACCAGCCCCACTGGTTGTTGAGCCACTGTAGCCACCTTGTATCACAGAAGCGATTTGATTGGATTGTATGGCAGTTCATTTTCCTGTCAGCCAACTTTATGTCTGGTGTCAGCAAAAGTAGGATTATTTTCCTATGTAGGACGGTCTATGGGGCACGGACATGTGTAAGTTTCTCGCTTGTTGCGATTTCTCCCCAAACCGAGCTGTGGTCAAAGGGAGGTAACTTTGGTTTTTAAGGTTATTCAAAATGAAATTGATCATAAAATTTTGATTGACTAAGATTCAATCAAGATTCTTAAGAAATTGAGTAATTTAAAAGTTTTTTTGTTAGTACACAGCCTATCTTTTCCTAGAAAGTTTTAACCATCTGATAACCTGCCTCTTTATCACCACCCCCACCCTTCCCTTTTTTTAATTGTGAAGCTACTGACTGTGCTAAAGCGCGTCCCTGTCAGAGATCGCAATTCAATAGAATACTTGTTCTGCAGGCCTTATTCATTTCGGTAACTTTCGATTCTTTTTAAAATAAACTGCTGAGGAAAGGTTTCAGTTTCATCCGTACCACCTTGGCCTTATTATATTATGTAGGCCTATCATATCGCAAGATTTATTTTTGTAGGCAACGCATAGGCTATCTTATCAGATAATAATTCGTCGTGTCTTATGAATGAATGAGTTTTATCTGTACCCATGATGAGTTATTATCGAAGTAATGTGCAAGAAAAATCGAGCGACATATGAAATCCAGAGATGAACAAGTGTTCAACAAATGAGTACATGCGCAGGAAAGGTGCATATTAATCAAGACTATTATATAATCAAGTCCTGGATTAACCAGTCGCTTTGACTACGACGAAAAGTCAGATTGATCTGTCAAAACTCAACAATACTATTTTCACAGTACATACACTTAATTTATGATCTTCGAAGCAGTGGTTACAGCAGGTAGGCCTATTTTTTTATCCTTATCTTTAAGATTAATTCATTGATGACACTTTGGATACCAATCCGACAATCGGATATTTTGCCCATGGCTGCAAGTTACAAGGTAGGTATCACATTGTGCTTCTGAGATCCATGTAGGTCTATTGAATTTTTCAGTGATGAAATCACTTGATAGTGATGTAAATATATGTCCGCGTATTATTGTTTTTGATATTCTCAAAGTCCTTTTTTCTTCTTTATATAGTATATAGGCCTATATACACGGAATTCCTCCCAATTTTTACTTCCACTTTCGATTTCATTATATCTATAATTTCCCAGAAATCTAATTATAGTTTTAAATATGTCACAGATAAGTATAGTATAGAAATAGGATATGGAATTTGAAATTGAACAATTTGTAAATTTTGGATAAAAAATGACTCTCATATCGGTTGGAAAATTCCCCTCTGTAAAATCATATTATATAATAATATTTCAGCAATTGTCAAAGCGTCCGTTTGCATTCTATATTTAGATATCCGTGGTCCACAGTGGTCAGTTGACCCATACCGTGCCAGAATAAATTCGATAATTATGTAATCATGAAAAAATGGCAAAAAAAATTTGAGATTTATTTATTTGTTTATATTGAATTTATTTTTTAATTTAATTTAATTTATTGATTTTGATTTCAGGTAGCACCACGATGTCAACGCCTTATGAGAAATGCCATTTTGATCTCGATCTCAACGCATCAAAATGTAAAGATAAAAAGCAATTTGAATTTCGGATTAAAACCTTGATGCTTTATCTTCTTGAAGAAATTTCTCCCTTGCAGTTAGCAATTAGAAATCTTCTTGGTGTTATGTATTATTATTCAGGGCAGTATCACAAAGCTTATGAAAGTTTTTCATGCGTTCTGAAACACGACGAAGATAACTTGAATGCACTGGAAAACATTGCGAGAGTTTGTTTCAGGTTGCAAAATTCACGAGAGGAGGAGGAATATCGCAGAAGATACGAGATGATCGTAAACAATAAGCCAGGGGTGAAAATAAGGGCCAGATTTAGAGCTGAACATGCTTTTGCACATGCTTTTGGCTGTTACCTTGAAACCAATGAGTTAAGGCGGTATCCGAAATCAAACGAGATATACATCGATTGTCTCGAAATGACTTCAAACATGACAGATATGAATCAAGAACGTGCTGAATGGAAGATGTGTATGATATGGAACTATAAGAAAATATTTAATAGAAATTTTACAATGGACCAACAAAAAGAGAAAAATGAAAAACTATACCCCAAAATATTGGAAGTACTTTTTGATATTCTAAATCTTGTCCCGGGTGACCAATACTTTGGTTGTCTTGTGCGCGGGTATTTGGGTTATTTTTCCTGGAAGAGACCCATTTTACAAAACGAAACTGCTCAAGATAAAAAAGATATGCCAATTCCAGAGATAGTCAAGAAAAATGGCATGGAAAAAGAATTTCAAGATCCTGAACTATTATTTAGAGAAGCTTTAAAGGAGCGAGATGAACTTGAAGTGTTACAGCTGTTTGCTGGATGGTTGCAATCTAAAAGATACTTCGACGAAGCTTTGAATGTTTTGAACAAATGTGTTGAAATGAAGCCCATTGGAAGTAACTATTTTTCATACCTGAAGCGAGGTGAAATTCTTTTAAGCAAAGCTAAAAAAATATTAAATGGTAAGGATGGGAGTATATCTTCTGTTGAAAATTACTTGGACAAAGCTATAGCAGATTTTGAATTCGTAGCCACAGTCAACCCCACCTCGTATTTGTTTGGTCATCTTGGATCAGCTTATTGTTTGCGTTCTGATAAAGGTAGGAATCGGCAGATGAAAGCAAATTGCTTAGGAGCTTTTGAGCGAGGTTTTGACTGCTTGGATGGACGCCTTGACCATCGCATTCATTTCAAACATGCCGACTGTTTGCGACAGTTTGGTGAGGACGACCATGCTTTACAAGCTACTAAACGATGTATAGAATGTCAGAACGCTAAAGCCAAAGATACTAATGATATAAAGTTTCTATTGGAATGGTATATTGAAAAGATTGCGTCAGGTACTCCAGAGATTCTAAATGAAGCTATTCCAGATCTAGTTCATTGGTTCATTGTTGCATTCAACAAATACGACAGGTACGAGTTTAAAACAATGTTCACAAATCTGATTATAGGACAATGTCGTAAATTAAAACTCGATATATTTACCCAACTATTTCTAAAACAAGACACTGAGATCAATCAATTTTTCGTGGAGGTTTTTCAGAAGCCAGAAGTTATATCTGCGTGTAAGGATTTCGGTGTTGGACTAAGTCAAATATTCTCAACAGTCGTGACCAATAAACCAAACAAATCTTTAACTCACAGCAAAAATTTGCAGCCAAGAAACCGATCAGGATTTGATTATGATTTCTTTGTCATTTATTGCGATAAGGACCGGAAATGGGTGTCGTACAGCCTCCTTGACCATTTGGAAAATACGAGAGGTTTCAAAGCATTTTTCGATCATCGTGATTTTGAACCTGGTAAGACCATAATCGACAACATCGAAACGGCTATCAAGAAGAGTTATAAATTCATATTAGTTATCACACCGGATTTTAAGAAGAGCAGTTGGTGTCAGCACGAAACACAGGCAGTTCTCACTGCTGCACTTAACAAAAAGGAAAAAGGCTCGATTATTCCAATTGTTAAAGATGGAGAAAAAGTTCCTGAATTTTTGAAAACTCTACACCATATCTCTCTAGAGGAAAGTCTCAACGAATTCCAATTGGAACGTTTAGCAATGGCATTGAACAGTAATCCATACTAATTTCATGATCATTATTTCGGTTTACCGAATTTTTGTTTTATAAAAACTCGATACCATTCCAGGGCCAACAGTCTTTTTTCGGGGTATTTTTATCAATATCTTTTAATTTCTTTCACAACTTTGATTTAATTAGGTGCATTTTGATTTCATGAATTAAAGGGGCACTCTTTTATTAAGTAAGCTATACAAATTTTTTACTCAAATTTATGAAAATTATTCCCAAAATGTGCCCCTACACTTAGATTATCTTGCTGTTTATTTTGGGACGCAAAAACAAGTTAAAAGTTTTAAGCAAAAGATGTTATGGTTTAAATGTTTTGTCTTTTGGTTGGTTTTGGAAAACTAATGTACCAGATTTACCAAAGTTAATCCAAATCTTAGAGAAATCGAATCCTCGAGAAATATTCTAACAACAGTACAACTGTTTTACTGTGCATTGCAATGTTTTCAATTTACTTTTGTAACAAATATAGTAAAATATTTTGAAGCTCAACTATATTAATTATTATGTAATTGTGCTTATTATTTCTATATCGCTCTACAATTCAATGTTTTAACATTGATATTTCTTTAATTAATTTACAAATTGTTAGAATAACATGTAGAAAAGTTTATAGAACACTGTTCACTTCGTTGTTGATAAGTTTAAATATGCCTTGATGTTATAAAATGTTTAACAATTCTTCTTTATTTTAACAGTATAATTTCTATATCGCTCTACTATTTAAACAGTGAAAATATTTTATTATTGTAGCCTAGTTGCTTATTATATACAACAATTAATATTTTAATTAATAATATATATATATATATAGCCTATATTGACTCTATTGTTTAATGCAATATTTGATAGTGGTCGTTTCCCCAGTTCATGGTCGAAAGCACTGATATCCCCTTTGCATAAAGGCTCCAAAAGCGATGTGAATAATTACCGTGGTATCTCTCTTTTGAATAGCTTTGGTAAAATTTATACTTCCGTTTTGAATTATAGATTGCAAATATGGTCAGAATCACTCGACAAATATACGGAAGCTCAGGCAGGTTTTCGTACCGGGTACTCGACCATAGATCAAATATTCACTCTTCAGGGATTAGTTCAGAAGTATTTATCTAAATCTAAATCTAAAATGATGATTTTCACCTCTTAAGTTTATCCAAATGTATAGAAAACATCTTCAAAAATTTGTAAATGCTTAATACATATCGATTAAATGCTAATTATTTATTGTAAATATATTTTTGTTATTGTAAATAGTATTCATTCATGTAATGTAAAAATTTATAATATTGTAACGTTGGTCGTAGACCTATATTACTGAAAATAAACTTATTATTATATATAGCCTATATTTTCTTTGTTACATCGTACTATTTCCTTACGTTTATTTATTAAACATGTTTTCTAAGTTACTTTTGATAAAGAAGCAAAAAAAAATGACTGTTTGGATTTTAGTTACCTAAACTCGTACCAACTACGGGACTAGAATGCTGTTGGTTACCAATGTTCAACTCACGGCAACTAACGAACAGTGGTGAAGGTTGAGCCGAATGCTCTTAGTTCTTCAGCTTCTCAGAAATAAATACTATTCCAGGCTTTGCATAAGACCGAAAGTGCTGCAAAGACACAGCTATACTAGGCTCACTGTTACGATTTCTAACTACCATTTTTATACGCCCACACGTAAGATGGGCGTATATTGTAATCACCCCGTCGGTC